TATTCAACCTAGGGTTTCGTATAATGCTAGAAGACCGGCGAATACTCCTTCGGGGACTACCCAGACAATATACAATAGCAGTGACCCGAAGACTCCAAAAGGGGGCTCTAAGAGGATTATCTCCCTCCTAGATCAAAAGCTCAATACATGAAAATGGAAACCCAACTCATGCCATTCATGAAAACATCCATCAATTAAGTAAAATCATCAATCAATCATGGAGTTTGTCACATACATCAACATGAAACACAAATCTAGACCTATGGTTCTTAAACCCAAGAGAAGAGGATGAGTTTCTAGAGAGAGGGGAGATTACAAAGAAACCTCTAGATCTTCATCTTCTTCTTCTAGGCTTGATTCCTTGCTTCCAACCTTGATCAATGCGTTCAATTAAACTCCAAGATTACTCTCTCTCTCTCTCTCTCTCTCTCTCTCTCTCACTAGAACTCCCCATTGGTGTTTTGGGTTGAAACTCTATAGAAAGAAAGTATTCCTTCTCCAAAAACCAGCTCTCCCTTCTTCTTCCCTCTGCTGTTGTTTTTATACCAGGTCGAGCCCAGTTCACGGCCTCTGTTCACGTTGTGAACATGTGAACGCGTCCGTGAACTCAGCGTTGTCTCCAAAATGCACCGCTTCACTCTTCAGGGTTCACGGTATGCACCCAAAGTTCACAGTCTTAGAGACTGTTAACTGCCTGGTCGTCAGTAACCTCTGGAACCTCGCTGGACGCCTCGCTGTTCGCGGTTTGTGGTTCCAGTTCACGGTCTTGGGAGACCGTGAACTTCAATGTTGGACTGTGAACTGCGGCTGCTTCCTGGATGTCTGCGCTTCACTGTTACGGGGCAATTGTCACGGTGACTTTGGACTTTTCTTCGGTCATTTTGTGCTTTTCGACCTCCAATCGTCCTAAAACTCGTCCTCGACCCTTCCACGCGTGCTAGAACCTGAAATGTATCAGAACAAGCACAACCTAGCGTGAAATATGTCGAGGTATGATGAAATGCAAAGCCAAACGATCAAGATATGAGGGGGAAAATGTGTACAATTGGACCCGAATCACTCCCCCACAGATGACTGGCTAGGGTCTAGGACATGGGGAAAAGGCTTTTTGGGTGGTGGCAAACATAGCATAAGGTTCCACATTTCCATCCTAAAACCACAAAAGGTTTTAAGGATTCGATTAGAGCCCTCTCCTATACTCAATGGCCACTAGCATCGACCAATAACCGCACTTTACACACTTCAAAAACACATCCAATCACCAAACCATGTCACACATACTTTCTTTTTACATTTGCTAGTCAATTTCAAGCACAAGAGTGTGGTATGCAAACAACATGTAAGTGTTCCTAAAGCTTGCATGATAAGCAACACTTCAAAGAGCATGTTCAACATTTATTATATTTTTGGTGGCCACTCTCTTTTCTTCTTTGCCCTCTTATTGATCTTTTTTTTTTTTTTTGCTTTCCTTTTCTCTTTTCTTTGGGGGCTATAGAGAGCTAAAAACATGCCACATTTTTTTTTAACTTAAGGAACAATGCTCACTTTTTACGAACTACCTCCACACTAACCTCAATTCTAAGCAAACCCATACGCAAGTCACTTATGTGGAACCGTGTTTAAGCTCAAATGGTATGAATGGAGCTTCCAAACACAAGGGTGACTCGATAAGGTGTAGACACGAAGAAAGTAGGGTCGCTCTATCTAAAACAATCAAGCTCAAGTAGCGTGAGCTACCTAACACGAGAACGACCCTTAGAAACACGGCTCAAAAGGGATTGACTAAAGGATGATATGATCGGGTCGGTCAACATTTGGGTCGTGGACTAAACCTAATGCGTGTCTCAATCATCATCATAGGTTTCACATAATCACAAGCAAATTATCCATAGACAATGCTAATAACCACGAGATACAAAACAAAACAACACAAGTTCCACTACGATCATGCAAATGTAGAAGTTGTTATGCTTGGAGCCCTCAAATTTTAAAAATTTGGGCATACAACTAGGCTCCAAGCATTCAAAATCACACCAAACATTCACAACCACATGCATAATGGACTACCCCCCCCCCCCCCCACACACACACACTTAAGCTCGACATTGCCCTCAATGGCGTAAAAGAAGGAGGTAGAACGATGTTACTGTATACGATTTGAATATTGGTGGTAGGGATCGGAGGTTGGGCAAGATCCAGAAGAGCAAGGAGACCAAAAAACATCACCAAAATCTCTTCAATGGTATTCTTATTGGAGCGGAAAGCAAACAAACCGATGGTAGATGGGTTGCCTCCCACCAAACGCTTCTTTAACGTCATGAGCTGGACGGTTGCTCCTCAAGTTTCGGTCCATCCTAGAACCTCCTTGAAGTTGAGGTTCTCGTCGGTGAGGTGATATCTCAAGTCACGAGCATTGGACGAGTCTATGATTGAGAGCTCGTGAACTTGAGTGGCTTTGAGGCTCCACCCACGAGACCTCTTCTTCTTTCCTTCTTTCTTCTTCTCTTTGCCCCACACCATGTAATGCATCATCGATTTACCACCATCGCATCCACCTAGAGGGATCTCCAATGGTTGGGCCTTGGCTTGGCAAAGAGCCGCAAATGGGTCCCTCTCCAAAAGCGCATCGAGGTCGGGTGGAAAGCTTTCATAGCCCTCGTAACTTGTGGATGCTTCATCCACCTCGACCTCGTCCTGATCTTGGACTCCACTTGCACCTTCTTCTTCTTCAACCTCCCTTCCTTCTTCTTCAATGTGTTTCTCCCCTTGGGAACACTCAAGGTCTTCTCCTTCTTCAATGCTTACTTTCTCCTCTTCAACCTCTTCTTTCTCCTTCCCATTCATGTCTCCAAGCACGAATTTGAGGGCAAGATTCCATGCAAGGTCATTGAATGGATTCTCTTTCTTCTCCACACTCGTGTCTTGGTCTTCAAAGTTGCTTTTGGGAAGGGGAAGATGATGGGAGTCGTCAATGCAACCTTCTTTTTTGTTCTTGCCACGGGAGCGATAGCTTACACAAGCTTGTGGAACCTTCTCTTCTAGTGTCAAACCGGGAGGAGGGAGGGGTTGGAAATCCGTGTTGGAGCTTGTTCTTGCATATTGCTCCATGGCAAGCTCCAACTTGGACTTCGTTTTGGGTTGTGGGAGATCCAAGTTTGAGCACCCTTCATCGGTGTATCAAACAAACCGCTCCACCTTGGCTATTCGGCTCTGATTGTGGGTGGCACATGGTCTTGAAGAATGCCCCATGTAAGCTTCCATTGCCAACTCCAACTTGGATTTCTCCTCCACTTGAAGAGGGAAGTTTTCTTCATATGGGGGAGCTTCTTGAAATCCCAAATGGTATGCTTGTTCTTCTTGGAAGGGAGTTTGATCATAGAACCCAGTTCCTTGGCTTCCACCTTCTTGACTACTCCATGAAGCCCTGGGGTACCCCATTCGGGTGGTTGTGGATACCCCCACATATTGTAGAAGCCATTGGGATCCATGATTTAACCTACAAACCCAAAAACACAAAAATAAAATCAAATAAACACAAACCACCCTTCTAAGAGAAGAGTGGTTCAACAAACACAAAACAAAACGGCTAAAGTAACGGCCTAACCCTTTATCAAATAACCTAGAATGGATTCCCGACAACGGCGCCAAAAACATGACTCGTTCTAAGACAACATCCTGATTGGCGCCTGATAGACCGTTAATTTCACATGTTTTTACCCCTATTCTTGAGCCGTTTGAGATATTCATTCTCGTGTTTTAAGCCAATTTCACGCTAGGTTGTGCGTTTATGGCATATTTCATTACTTAGCGTTGGCATCGAGGCGAAGAAACGAGTTTCGTTTCGAAAGGAGCACGTTTGGGTTGAGGTGTGCTGGAGGAGAAAAATACCCGACCATGAGCAGAAATACCCGGCCGGGTATTAATCGGAGCAGACCGGGGAAAACCTATTTTGGGCGTTTGAGAAGCAAAAGGGGGCCCGGGCATTAATCATAAATCCCCGGTCGGGTATTATTGGCCCGGGATGGGGGTTAACCCCTGTTCTCCGATGGTGCGTTTTGAAGATACCCGGTCTCCAACCAAAATACCCGACCGGGTATTCTGACCAGGGATAGCGAACGCAGGCTGTTAAAAGCATGTTTTGTGCGTTTTTGCAAGAGAGAGCTGGGTTTTGGATCCCAAACACCCAAGGGACGAACCATAAAAAGAGAGGGCGATTTGAGGGCATTCTAGGAGTGGAACTGGAGGATTTCTTCGTGTAGGAAGCTCGAGGAACAAGCCCGGACTTGAAGACTGATCATCTGCAAATTTTTACTGCAATCTCTCTCTTCTCTATGGAGTAACTTCCCTTCACTTAGGTTTTGAGGAACCCTAGCTATGTTTGTTTGATTGGATGATTGTATGAGTACTCTTACTTGATAATCTTGAGTTCATATTCAATCTATGCATGTTTTCATGATTCAATTCTGCTTTAGTCGAGATTATTGATTCTGCTTTGATCCTATGAGAGCGAATACCTGATTAGGTAAATAGAGCACCATAGATTGATAGTAGTGGATCGATTGCTTTAGTCGAGGGTTGATTCACTGATTTGTATCGATTGAGAACCTCTTTCGATAGAGGGATTCTAGTTCAAAACGCCTTGATCGGTTGTTCTAGAGAAGGATACGTCTCTCTAGGCAATTGACTCAAGAGGGCCTTGTTCCTTTAGTCGAGACTCAAGGTCTAGTCAAGGATTCTCCGCATTGTGAATGAAAGTGAAACAAGTTAGAAATCATCAATCATTAATCTGACTAGTGGCTAGGGGGAATCATACCAAAGTGAGTTCCCAACCTGTAATTAGATTAACTTTAACTATAGTTTGTTAGAGTAGTTTTAGTTCTTCCATCTTAATCTGGTTTGCTAGATAATGAACTGAAGCTGAGTAATAGTAACTCTAGAGACCCGTGGATTCGATATTTATTACTTGAGCCACTATACTACAGTCCCTTTCATTGGTTACACTTGGCCATTGTTAGGAGTTGTGTCATAGCGAGTAAATTTTTGGCGCCGTTGCCGGGGACTTTCTAAATTATTAGGAAAGGCACAAGTTTGTTACTTTAGCATTTTTCTTTACTTTTCCACCATTGCTTTTCACTTGGGTGTTTTTGTTTTTGTTGGTGCAAATCTGAATCATGGATCCTCATGACTTCAACAACCATTGGGGGTATCCACCACCATCCGAGTGGTATTACCCCGAGACTCCCTGGAGCAATCAAGGAGGAGAAGACTATGGATTCAGGTTCCGGTACCAACCCCCTTATTATGTAGAACAATCAAACCCCTGGGCATATCAAGAACAAACTCATTATCAAGAAGAATTTCTCCCACAACTAGAAGGGCCATCGGAGCTGGAGTTACCCATGGCGGCCTTCACGGGGCATTATGCAGAGCGAGAAAGGGTGCAGAAAGAAGTTGTGGAGGATGACGAAAGTGAAGCAGAAGGAGTTCTTGATCATTTCCCAGGGGTGATACCACATGAAGAAGGAAGGGAGGTTGAAGAAGCAATTGGCGTCAAGGCCGAGGATGAAGTTGAGGTGGAAGAGGCTTGCACCGGCCATTAGTTACATGTGATATCCCCACCAAACTTTGAGGAATTGCTTAGCAAGGACCCGTTTGCAGTGTCTCTTTGCCAGAACAAGGCCACATCGACATCGATCCCTCTTGGTGGACGCGATGGTGGTCATCGATGTTGTCATTTCTGGTGTGGGGCAATGAGACGAGAGAAGAGAAGAAGAGGTCTCGAGGGTGGAGACTTCATCTGCATCAAGTGCACGAGCTTCCATCACCTGTCATACCACATGCTCGTGACTTGAGACTCCACCTCATCGATGAGAACCTAAACTTCAAGGAGTTTTTGGGGTGGACCGAATCATAGGACCCTTCGTCCGGCTCAGGACGTGAAAGAAGCGCTTGTTGGGAGGCAACCCAACCAGTCGGTTTGCATTCCTTTCTCTATTTCGCCTCGGTTGAGTCAGTTTTGTTATTTGATTTTAGAGTCAATAACTCAACCTTTGTGAGGTTTTGTGCGGTGTTTGTGTTCTGACTACTCTCTCCTCCTGGAATGCACCGCCTGCCCCGTCCACCATCATTCACCCTTGATCTGGTAACTTCGTTCTACCCTCCTTATCCTTCCTCCATTGAGGACAATGTCGTGCTTAAGTGTGGGGGGATATTCGATTATGTATGCGGGTGAATGTTTGGCTGTTTGTGTGCTTGGAGTCTAGTCCACTGTCCAAATTTTTAAATTTGAGGGCTCCAAGTACGTGTTCCCTTGCAAATTTCCTGCTCAGTATGCTTTGAATTGAAAGTCTCTATAGTAATGTGCAACCTAGGGAGGTAGTGTAGCACTATGGAGGATATTGAAGTATAAGATTTTTCCTATCTAGCTCTCCGCTGTGCCAGTTGATTTTGTGAATTAGTGGAGCTAAGACCATTGAATTCATGTGGTAATTAGGGATGGCAACAAAACCCGAACCCACGGGTACCCACCCGACCCAACCCGGTCAACGCGGGTAAAACCCGTGTTGACGGGTTTTGGGCCGGGTTCGGGTTTAAACCCGCTACACTATTCATCGGGTCGGGTTGGGTTTGGGTTTAGGTAAACCCGCCCCATGGGTACCCGCCCACACATATAATTACTTTCCCGGTATATTTAATATTCTAAATAATATATCTTCCTTAAACAACTAATATTCTTTATGTTTGTGGAGACATGTATAATTTGTTCTTTCTAATTGTTTAGAATGAAGTTGATATTATGAAGTGAAGAATGAAGAAACTTAGTTGACGAGGAAGAAGTTTTCAATTAATCTTATTGTTTATAGATGTTTATCTTTAATTTGAACAATTTGTATTGATCATTTGCGGTTTGCTTGTATGCTCTAGATTTGTGTTTTTTGTATGAGAAAATTGATGTTAAACTTTTATTTTGAAAGAAACTTGTTATTGTAAATGTTTTACTAGAAAAACCCACGGGTACCCATGAACCCGTGGATACCCAGCGGGTTGGGTTGGATTTGAGTTTTTCAAACCCAACGGGTTTTACCCCGGGTTTTTTTGACGGATAAACCCATGGGTTTGGGTTTGGGTTTGACAAAACCCGCCCCAACCCGACCCATTGCCATCCCTAGTGGTAATGGTGACTCTGTTTGGATTGTGTTATGGACTCGTGTATCGAATAGGGTGCTCATATGGAAACTGAAAAGAAGTTGGTCCTCCATGTCGAAATCATTGAAATCTTAAAACATGGGGTAAGCCCAACGTGTGCGGCACCGTTCATTGCACAAAATTGGGTTTTGGAGGAGATTTTAGTGATCCTTAGTGGGGTACTCCTACAAGGTGAAGCTAAGCTGTCTCTAGTACAAGTAAAACTTCCACCCGTTGAACGGTTTGCCTACTTGAGGATGTGTTTTTAAGGGCACGGATAGAGCTTCCAACCCCCCTTAATTTCATTTACCCTCCACACGAGTTGAGGAAAAGGAGTTAAAAGAAGTACTCTGGCGAGCGCTAGATGTACAGAAATTGCTCTTGCTCGACTAATAAGGATCGACCGTGCAAAAGACTGCAGTTGGAACCCCGCCAAATGAAAGAAAAAAAAGAAATGTAAATGAAAGTCAGAAAAAGGGGTTCCAATGGTGAAATGAAGTGAAAGAGCACCCCGATACAGCGTGTGATTGGTTGTGAATGGTGTGAGTCCCTTTATCCATGAACTGATTGTCTTACTTCTACTTCTTCTCATGATCCTGGCTGGAGTCTAGTACTCGCATTGAGAGAGATAGGGAACGTCTTAGAAGACCAGTTGACCTCGTAAGTTGCTTTATGATCTAGGAAATCTTCTACCGAGGATCGGGGTTGTTTGTTGCTATAGAGGTCTGGAGAGTTGCATTGGTTTGAGTTAGGTTTGCTTGGGGACAAGCAAACGGTTAAGTGTGGGGGAGTTTGATAGACCGTTAATTGCACATGTTTTTACCCCTATATTGAACCGTTTGAGATGTTGATTCTCGTGTTTTAAGCCGATTTCACGCTAGGTTGTGCGTTTATGTCATATTTCAGGACTTAGCGTTGGCATCGAGGCGAAGAAACGAGTTTCGGGTCGAAAGGAGCACGTTTGGGTTAAGGTGTGCTGGAGGAGCAAAATACCCGGCCATGAGCAGAAATACCCGGCCGGGTATTAATCGAAGCAGACCGGGGAAAACCTATTTTGGGCGTTTGAGAAGCAGAAGGGGGCCCGGGCATTAATCATAAATCCCCGGTCGGGTATTCTTGGCCCAGGCCGGGGATAAACCCCTGTTACCCGATGGTGCGTTTTGAAGATACCCGGTCTCCACCCATAATACCCGACCTGGTATTCTGACCGGGGATCGCGAACGCAGGCTGTTAAAAGCCTATTTTGTGCATTTTTGCAAGAGAGAGCTGGGTTTTGGATAGCAAACACCCAAGGGACGAACCAAAGAGAGAGAGAGGGCGATTTGAGGGCATTCTTGGAGTTGAACTGGAGGATTTCTTTGCCTAGGAAGCTCGAGGAACAAGCCCGGACTTGAAGACTGATCATCTGATGATTCTTACAGTCTATCTCTTCTCTATGGAGTAACTTCCCTTCACTTAGGTTTTGAAGAATCCTAGCTATGTTTGTTTGATTGGATGATTGTATAGTACTCTTACTTGATAATCTTGAGTTCATATTCAAAATATGCATGTTTTCATGATTCAATTCTTCTTTAGTCGAGATTATTGATTCTGCTTTGATCCTATGTGAGCGAACACCTGATTAGGTCAATAGAGCACCATAGATTGATAGTAGTGGATCGATTGCTTTAGTCGAGGGTTGATTCACTGCTTTGTATCGATTGAGAACCTCTTTCGATAGAGGGATTCTAGTTCAGAATGCCTTGATTAGTTGTTCTAGGGAAGGATACGTCCCTCTAGGCAATTGACTCAAGAGGGCCTTGTTCCTTTAGTCGAGACTCAAGGTCTAGTCAAGCATTCTCCGCATTGTGAATGAAAGTGAAACAAGTTAGAAATCATCAATCATTAATCTGACTAGTGGCTAGGGGGAATCATACCTAAGTTAGTTCCCAACTTGTAATTAGATTAACTTTAACTATAGTTTGTTAGAGTAGTTTTAGTTCTTCCATCTGAATCTGATTTGCTAGATAATGAACTGAAGCTGAGTAATAGTAACTCTAGAGACCCGTGGATTCAATATTTATTACTTGAGCCACTATACTACAGTCCCTTTCATTGGTTACACTTGGCCATTGTTAGGAGTTGTGTCATAGCGAGTCAGCGGCCAAGTATAACCGCCGACCGGGTGTAGCATAGGGCAAGAAAGCAATAAAATTTATCGTACCACGGGGATCTAGGTTTACCCTACTTCATGTTTAGGGTTCGTTATATAGCCAACCTAGGATAGTGATTGATATAATTAAACTAACTAACCTAGACTACCCACTAACCTAGCTATTTACAAGGCGGGGAGCTCTCTTGGGTGGAATCGTCCTAGGTCTGTTCTTTGGATCGATGTTGGGTATCCTCCTAGCTCGATCGACTCAACTACAGTACCATTTGGAGTGGACTCCCACGGGAACGACCTGGAACTGTGAATCGATGGATGGGTTGTAATCTATTCAACCTGGGGTTTCGTATAATGCTAGGAGACCGGTCGAATCAACTCCCTCATGGACTACCCGGACAATATACAATAGGAGTGACCCGAAGACGCCAAAAGGGGGCTCTAAGGGGATTATCTCCCTCCTAGGTAAAAAACTAATTGCATGAAAATGGAAAACCAACTCATGCCATTCATGAAAACATCCATCAATTAAGTAAAATCATCAATCAATCATGGAGTTTGTAACATACATCAACATTAAACCCAAATGTAGACCTAGGGTTCTTAAACCCAAGAGAAGAGGGTGAGTTTCTAGAGAGAAGGGGAGATTACAAAGAAGCCTCTAGATCTTCATCTTCTTCTTCTAGGCTTGATTCCTAGCTTCCAAACTTGATCAATGCCTTCAATTAAGCTCCAAGGTCACTCTATCTCTCTAGAACTCCCCTTTTGTGTTTTGGGTTGAAACCCTGGAGAAATAAAGTGTTCCTTCTCCAAAAACCAGCTCCCCCTTCTTCTTCCTTCTGCTGTTGTATTTACACCCAGGTCGAGCCCAAATCACAGCCTCTGTTCACGGCCATGAACACCTTAACGCGTCTGTGAACTCAGCGTCGTCTCCAAAACGCACCGCTTCACTCTCCAGGGTTCCCGGTTTGCACTCAAAGTTCACGGTCTCAGAGACCGTGAACTGCCTGGTCGCCAGTAACCTTTGGAACCTCGCTGGATGCCTCGTTGTTCACGGTTTGTGTTTTCAGTTCACGATCTTGGGAGACCGTGAACTGCAGCCACTTCCTGGACGCTTGCGCTTCACTGTTACGGGGCAATTGTCACGGTGACTTTGGACTTTTCTTCAGTCTTTTTTGCGCTTTTCGACCTCCAGTCGTCCCAAAACTCGTCCTCGACCATTCCACGCGTGCTAGGACCTGAAATGTATCAAAACAAGCATAACCTAGCGTGAAATATGTCAAGGTACGAGGAAATACAAAGCCAAACGATCAATATATGAGGGGGAAAATGTGTACAATTGGACCCGAATCAACCTCTAATCACCCTTACTTCATGCACTTCTTGTTAGTTTGGAATAGGCACTAGGGGCACCTCAACCATACTTGGTTACTAAAAAAACAAGTAATACATTTAGAGTAGAGACTTTGCTGGGGACATGCGGAATACGACTCTAGACATAATCTAGAATTTAGATTTTGAGACATATATACTAGACTCATCAAGCCTCTGAATCGCGAAACTTGTAAATAATAACCTTCGCATCCCTGCTATTTCTTGCAAATTTATGGTTGGAAAACGTCGTGAATACTCGTCCACAAATAGTAACGATAAATCAAAGAAAATAATGATAAAATAATAAAATAAAATAAAAACAATTTGAGTTACAGTCTTCTTTGCCATTAATGAAAGAACAAGTACATATTCATAGGTAAAAAAATCCATATATCACTCTTCTTTTTCCTATAGGCCACCGACCACTTCTCTTTTTCCTACCCATAATATGAAATGTATTCCCTAACTAAACAATTATTTAACATCAAGGAGAAACAATGACAACCGAAAGTAGTTCATGATGTGAATTGGTAACGACCCAACAACTTACTTCAAAAGAGTTTCTTTAGTTACCACTGAAAGTGTACGTAGTTTCAACCCTTGAAGTTTCTTAATGAGATTGGCTTCAACAATACAAAAACGTTATACCTTCCATGGAGCAACAAAATTGCTTTGATTTCACAATTATTATTATGAATAGAATATTATACCGATGTGACAAGCCATTGGGAACCGAATGCAATGGGGTTTCATTTTGTAATCCAAACTTTCAAACACTCTATAAAACTTGACATTGGAAAAATTCAGAGTTGAACTTAATGCAAAACATAAACGAAAGAAGAAGATGAACCAACGCCTAAGGAAACAGAGTAAAAGGTTGGGTTGGATACATGAGAAACCAAACAATGAACAAGACAGTTAGATTTTGCATTTTTTTCAAAAGAAAAGTTGACCGTGTCAACCATCCTCAAAGTTTCAGAAATAGATGTCATTATTAGCAAAGAAGGAAAGCCTTCGCTCCCCTCCCCACCTCTTATCTCACCAAACTCAGCTCTTTCAATGGACAAATTATTGTAATCACCAAAATGACTGACCC